ATATTCACATAAGGTTCACTTTTGTATATTATTAGCAATAATCTAATCCTTATATTATACTAATCTCACTTTTTTTTAAATTCAGTAATCTCGACTTCATGCTACAAAATATGAAGTAATTATTTTTTAGAAAGTTACGTGATTATAATTTCAACTTTCTTTTCCAGTGCCTGTTGCATTCTGCCCGATTTCATTAGACTTTCATTTATGCGACGCTGGCTTTTTTCCATTGAGGAAAATACAGGATGGATTTTCTTTCTATGTTTTTCTTTTTTTTACTCTCTTTCTCTTTTTCTTTCGTCCCTCTCTACTCCTTTTTCTTTTCCTTTTTTTCTTATTCTTTATCTTTCTTTTTTCTCTTTCTCCTTTTTCTTCTCACTCTTCTCTCCCTCTTCTTTCCTTGTCTTATCTCCCACTTTCCCTCCCTCTCTCCCTCTTTCATTTTCTCTCTCTCTCTTACCCTTTGCTCTCCCCCACTCTCCTCTTCCTCTCTTCCTCTTCTCTTCTCTCACTCTCCCTCTTTTCTCTTCCTCCTCCTCTCTCTCTCCCTTCATTTACCCTCTCCTCTCCCTTTCTCCATTTCCTTCTCCTCCCCCTTCCTCTCCCTCTCCTTCTCCCTCTCCTCTCCCTCTCTCCAAGCCCTCTCCCTCTCTCCCTCTCCCCTTTTCCTCCTCCTCTATCCCAGTTCCTCTTCCCCGCTTCCTCCATCTTCCTTTTATTCTGTTCCGAACCCAATACCCTCTTTCAGCGCTTTTCAGTTTCTGAATACTGTATATCAGAATCCTTCAGTAAAGTGTAATGTCGATTTTCTTACCAGTGGAGAGAGACAGCGCAAAGGTAAAAAGGAAAATCACGAAGAAAAATATTATGGTTGTAGAGCATGTCACAAAAATATCAGATAATGATAATAGCAATAACAATAATGATAATAATGACAATAATGATGATAATAATAATAACAATAATAATAATAATAATAATATTAATAATAATAATAACAACAACAATAATTATAATAATAATAATAATAATAACAATAACAATATCAATAACAATTATAATAATAAATAATAATAATAATAACACTACTATTACTACTACAGCTAATGATAATAATAATAATAATAATAATAATAATAATAATAAATAAGATATACGTAACTAACACTTTAACATACTAACTCTATTTGCATACCGACTCTATTGCAACTGCAAAAAGGAAGTCTGTATTTTCTTATGAATGTTATAGATGTAATAAAAAAAAGATAATTCTTGTACATTTTCCTTCTTCACATAGTTCATCGTATTTTGTTCCTGCACTTTGATCTCTCGTTAACGCCATTTAAAAAAAAAATCGAATTGCATCTGTATAATCGCTGGTTGCTACAGGAAGCTGCATGCCGTATGTGTGTTGGGAAGGGAAGGGGGAGGGGGAGGGGAAGGGAAGGGGAAGGGGAGGGGGAAGGGGAAGGGGATGAGGAAGGGGGAGGGGAAGGGAAGGGGGAAGAGGATGGGGAAGGGAAAGGGGAAGGGGGAGGAGAAGGGGAGGGGCGTGTGCGTAACTTTTTCCTTCCTGTCGCGAAATAATCTCGTTCGGTCAATCATGCGTCTGCCATATTATTGTCTTCCTCGTAGTTTTTCTTTCGTTCATATTCTAGTCTGTCTATCTGTATATCTATCTAATCTCTACCTCTATCTGCCTGTCTCTCTATCTATCTATCTGCCTGCCTGCCTGCCCATCTATCTGCCTGCCAGCCTGCCTGCCTGTCTGTCTGTCTGTCTGTCTATCTGCCTATCTGCCTGTTTGCCTGCCTGCCTGCCTGCCTGCCTGTCTGTCTATCTGCCTGTTTGCCTGCCTCTCTGCTTGCTTGTCTGCCTGTTCACCTGCCTGCCTGCCTGTCTGTCTGCTTGCCTGCCTATCTGCTTGCCTGCTTGTCTGTATACCTGCCTGTCTACCTGCTACCCTGCCTGCCTGACTGCCAGCCTGCCTGCTTACCTGTCTGCCTGATTGCTTGCCTGCCTGTCTACCTGCTCACCTTCCTAACTGCCTGCTTGCTGCCTGCCTGCCTGCCTACCTGCTTGTCTGCCTGCTTATCCATATACCTCTTTATGTGTATATCTTTATGTATGGATATATCTATCTGTGGATATTCATAGAAACATCAATTTACTTACTTATTTGTTTGAATATATATATTCATATCTATCCATCCATCTATCTATTCATCTGTATATCTATCTATCGACCAATCTTTCTATCTATCTAGATCTCTCTATATACTTTTCATTCAGTCTTTCTTTCTTTCTCTCTCTCTGTCTTTTTCTTTCTTTCTTTCTTTCTTTCTCTCTTTCTCTCTTTCTTTCTTTCTTTCTTTCTTTCTTCCTTTCTCTCTTTCTTTTTCTTTCTTTCTTTCTTTCTAGTACTAGTCAAATTCAGCGGCTGTATAACACCTGCTACATTTACCTCTCTACTTTTCAAAATCTGATCTAATATTGGCTCTCACCTCCAGATTTTGCTTTTTTTTTCCCTTTTAAATCGGTTTCCTAGACGGGGATTTTTTTTTTTTTTTGCCTCTGACGTGAAAGCGAGGATCGTCTTTTCGAATTTAGCAAGGACGAAAATTCATATATAAAAAAAGGAGAGTATCATGAAATGGCGTAATCCATTTTTTTTTTCAATTTTAGAATATTAATAATAATGTGAAGAAGAAGTAATACTTATAATTATGCAATTCATATATCTAAAAGAAAATAATAATAATAATAATAATAATAATATTAATAATAATAACAATAATAATAATAATAATAATAATAATAATAATAACAATAATAATAACAATAATAAAAAAAACACGCATCCGATCTCTAAAAATCCAAACACTCTATCCCGCCTTCATATACTTCAAAACCTCAAAACCTCAAAACAAACAAACAAACAAATAAACAAACAAACAAATAAACAAACAAACAAATAAAAAAACACACAAATACCGACCTTGGTGCGCGAGGAAGCCGTCGAACAATTGAGGAAAGCAGACGAGGTGTCGATGTCTCCCATAAGATACTCCGACACTCTGGAAGGAAAAAGAAAAACGTAAATTGAAATGGCAGGAAATCCTTCGGCTGGCTTGTATATACTTCGAGAATTATATTACGTATGATTCGAGAATTATATTACGTATAGTTCGAGAATTATATTACGTATAGTTCGAAAATTATATTACGTATAGTTCGAGAATTATATTACGTGTGTGTGTGTGTAGGAAAATAGGGTATGTTTGTATGATTGTTTTGTGTCTATGTATGTATGTATATATGTGTGTGTGTGTGTGTGTGTGTGTGTGTGTGTGTGTGTGTGTGTGTGTATACATGTATGTATGCATGTTGTTTTCTTTCTCGTACATGCATATACTTATTCAGAATTACGTCACAAATTTCAACACGGTAAAAGGCAACCGAGAATGACAGACGGAAACAGGCAACACGCATTAAGAACCGATAAGCAGAGCCGAAGTAGAGGTCTGCGCCGAAGGTATATCAGGAAGGGATCTCTCGACGCAGAAGACGACTCAAGGGCGCCTTGGAGGGGCATCGAGGGGACAGGGCGAGGGACGATGGAACCCGGAGGGAGCTGTCTGGCTGCGAGGGGGGGAGGGGGAGGGGGGGGGGGCGAGTGAGAGGGGAGGAGAGGGGAGGACAGATGCCCAGAGGATCTCCGCGGTCACTGTTTGCTTACATTTCAAGATTTAGAGCAACGTCATATGTCTCTTCGTGAATCAATCGTCACAGAATAAACACATGTGAGAACGACAATACGAATTTACGTCGAGTATAAACATCACGGTGACCACACACACACACACACACACATCCACACACACACACACACACACACACACACACACACACACACACGAACGTCAGCAACACACATACACAAGAAACCCACTTAACATCCGTCATATCCTCGCGAAAAAAAACATCCACCATAAATTACAAACGTCTTCCCATCCCCTATACTTTATTCAGCAACATCCAAGACCCATAAAGCACGTGCGTGATTCACAAGCACTGCAATCACCTCATACAACGTCCACAGGGGAGAGGGGGTGGGGGAAAGGACAAGGGAGGGGGAAGGGAAGAAGGGAGGAAAGGAGGGAGGGAGGAAGGGAGGGAGGGAGGGAGGGAGGGAGGAAGGGAGGGAGGGAGGGAGGGAGGGAGGAAGGGAGGGAGGAAGGAAAGGGAAGGAAGGAGGGAAAGAAGGACGAGGAAGAGAAAAAAAGAAGGGCAGGGAAAGGAAAATTAGGAGGAGAAAAGCCAGGGATGGGGAAAAGGAACAGACTGCGAGGGGGTGAGTGGGGTGGGGGGGAGAGAGAGAGAGAGAGAGAGAGAGAGAGAGAGAGAGAGAGAGAGAGAGAGAGAGAGAGAGAGAGAGAGAGAGAGAGAGAGCGAGAGAGAGAGAGAGAGAGAGAGAGAGAGAGAGAGAGAGAGAGAGAGAGAGAGAGAGAGAGAGAGAGAGAGAGGGAAGAAGGCAAGTGGACACACGAAAGAACCTCTAATAATAATATCAGGCGAGAAGACGTATGCCCCCCCCTTCCTCCCTCCCCCCTCCCCCAATGCCTGCCAGCCAGCCCACCCGCCCCTTCTCCCTCCACCCCCCCCCCCATGCCCGCCAGCCCGCCCACCTGCCCCGCCCAGACACGTGGCGTTGGGGCGCGGCCAAGACCCGAGTCAGGGTGGGCGTGCGTCGGGCATTCGTCTTACGTCGCCTGCATCGCCTTCCCTTTTTTTTTTGTGGCGATTTTTCACCAATTGGCATCTATGCAGAGGGCGCATTCGGGGAGGAGATGCGCGGGGAGGCGGGGGGGGGGGGGGGGGGGGGGGTTGACGTGAGGAGAGGGGAGAGGGTGACATGAATAAATAAATATACATGCGTGTGTGCTTATACGTTAATATGCAGTAATTTATATATAAATCAGATTATACGCAAACACACTTATATGCATACATACATACATACATACATATATACAAACATACCCGAGTATATATGTTTATATGTGTATATATGTATATATATATAAATATATATATATATATATATATATATATATATATATATATATATATATATATATACATATATATATATAAATATATATACATATAAATATATATATATATATATATATATATATATATATATATATATATACATATATACATATATATATATATATATATATATATATATATATATATATACATATATACATATACATATATACATATATACATATATACATATATACATATATACATATATACATATATACATATATACATATAAATACATATACAAATACATATACAAATACATATACAAATACATATACAAATACATATACAAATACATATACAAATACATATACAAATATATATACATATATATACATATATATACATATATATATATATATATATATATATATATATATATATATATATATATATATATATATATATATAAATGCATACATATATATATAAATATATAAATACATACATATATATACAAATATATAAATATATATATATATATATATATATATATATATATATATATATATATATATATATATATATATATAGTAAATATACGTAAAGAAATGCTGTATATAAGCATGTACATATACTCTCGTATATAAATATATGTACTCTTATACATATATATATACATATATATATATATATATATATATATATATATATATATATATATATATATATATATATATATATATATATATATAAACAGACACACAGAAAATAAGATCGAGAGATACACATAACCAGATCGACATATAAGTAAAATAAGAAAGATAAATAAACAGATAAAAAAACAGACATATAAACCAACACAGAAAAGAAAGAAAAAAAAAAAACATCAACAGACACCCCCACGTCTTACCAATCCATAAGAACGAACCGACAATTACGTTACGCGTTCATAGTAACCCTTATCGAAAAAATATCCATCCTTTAAAAAAAAAATAAATAAAAAAAAATAAAAAAAGCCTCAGTAAATCACAAGAATGAGACCCAACTGCATGCCTATAAATCGTCGACAAGCAGGCCATTGAGACTCTCCTTGTTATCGCCTCAAGCTTGCAGACTTTCCGTGAGGGGGCGCCACTTGCACAAAAGCATGACGTCATCAACATACTCATTTTTTATCAGGTTATCTTATGTTTCTACTCTTTTTATTATTATCATTATTTTTTTTTCTTCTTCTTCTTCTCTTTCTTTTTCTTCTTCTTTTCTTCTTCTTCTTCTTCTTCTTCTTCCTTTCTTCTTCTTCTTCTTTTCTTCTTCTTTCTCTTTTTCATTTTCTTCTTTCTATCTCCTACAGACCATCAAGGATATTGTGTATGTTACCATTGCGTTATGAATCTTTTTATCTGTAACTATCTATTTCTTTATGTATTTATCTCTATCTGTTCATCTGTTTCGTATTTATCCGTTCATCTCTCTTTCTATTTATCTATTTCGTATGCATTCGTTTATCTATATCTGTTAACCTATTCCTTTTGTATTCATTTATGTATATCTATTTATCTATTCCGTATATATTATTTTATCTCTCTGTTTATCTATTATTACTATCTATTATTTATCTCTCTGTTTATCTATCATTATTATCTATTATTTATCTCTCTCTGTTTATCTGCTCCTTCTATTTATTATTTATCAACCTATGTTTATCTATTCCCTTTATTTATTATTTATCTCTTTCTGTTTATCTACTCCTTCTATTCATTCTTTATCTCTCTCTGTTTATCCATTCAGACCCGCAGGAACCTGTGACGAACCTCTGTGCCTTCCTTACCCTTCCCCCTCCCCCCCCTCAAAAAAAAAAATAAATAAAAAAAAAAATAAACGAGAGTCAAGAATGAAAACACAGCAACAGATCGGGCAATGCACCGAGAAGGACCAACGTTTCAACAGCCACCTTGCAACGCTGCAATAACACACCGGACCCGAAATTAGAACAACTCGCCCTGCCTCATTCACATCGCGAGAGCCTCCGGGCAATTGGCGTATCTGTGCCGTTAGGGTCGCGCGAAAACGTTAAACTGCTCGTCATGTTGCAGTCTTATTGCAGGCAGGCACAGGGCGTCTGCTCTTTAGTCCTTACTGAGGAAATGCCGAGTTGCAACTGCGTGAGATTTTTTTTTTTCTTGTCCTATTTATTTATCTTTGAACTATTTTATCTATTTTTGGTCTATTTCATTTATTTCGTACCTTTGTCTTTTGGCTTACCTATCTATTATTTTTCCTCTATCTTGAATTTCCAATTTCAAAAGAATTCGACTTACGGAAGATTACAGAGAACATTTAGCGGTCGAGGAAAAGAAAAAGAAAAGCGCTAAAGGAGGAATAACAAAGGAATCCACACCAGGTCCTTTCTTTAATTGCTCTCGTCATTAGCTTATTCTTTGCAGGCGAAGGATAGAACACAGATGGTTGTCATGGCAACATCTCCAGCGACAGCAGGGCGTGGTTGATGGTCGGTGTAATGGGCTGGGGGCTGGGAGGGAGGGGGGTGGGTTGATGTTGATATGTGTTATCTAATTTTCTCTTCATTTTTTGTATGTTCACTCACATGCGTGCACACACGCACACGCACGCATACATATCATTACCATTATTAAGCGCACAAGCACTTACACACACACTTACACACACACTTACACACACACACACACACACACACACACACACACACACACACAAACACACACACACAAACAAACACACACACACACACACACACACACACACACACAAACACACACACACAAACAAACACACACACACACACAAATCTATACCAAATACAGAGGGTGATAACAAGACAGATAAACAGACAGGTTCATACACTGATAAACAGATAGCATTATCGACATTATCAACACTCACCATAGCATACCATTCCTCTAAACGACAGCAAAATCACTGGTAATTCTCACCCTCACAATCTCTACTCATTTCTACGAGAGGATTTCGAATC